TGACGCCAGTTCCGACTTACATACAGATTCAACTTAAGAACAAACCTGCAGTCCCTATCTTGTACATAACCCGGGGACTGCCTGTATACTACTCCTGTGGTCAGCAGCCCAGTCTTAGGGGCAAGCACTCATGGGATCTGGCTGCAGCTGGCCCTGCTTCTCCATTCTCCACCAGAGCTTGTCCCGCTTTCTAAGGCAGGTGAGGCCGTGAGGAAAGCAGCTCAGGTTTGGCTCATGCGAGGGGGGCAGGTAAAGCTGGAGAGGAAACAGTGTTTTAGAGGGATGCGGGAGGCTTAGCAAGGGCCAAAGCTTAGCAGACTCCCAGGTGACCGCTCCAGCAACGTCCCCGGAGTCCGCTCGTACAGGGCTCTGACAAGCGCGCTGGAGGCAGCTGGCTCCTTGGGAATGGGGCTGGGGGCAGGTGGGGGCGCCGCAGTGCGAAATCGCTCCTCCGGCGGGGTGTGCGCGCAGAGCAGCCGCTGTGCGCGTCGGTCCCAGCGCCAGCCCGCCCCGCCTGCTGCTCTTTGCTGGGCGGGGCTTCGGAGCAATCTGAGCCGCAGGCGGAGGAGGGAGGGTGATAAATATTGGCCCAGAAGCGAGGAGCCTGCCTGGAGCTGCCTGTGCTACAACGAGGGGCCATCCCAGGAGGGCTCCGGCTTTGCAGAACCTGGTTTCTACGGGGCTCTTGGAGACCCAGCCGTCCAGGCGTTTCGGGACCGGCTCCTGCGGCGGCGTTGGGGAATGGCTGGCAAGGGGCAGCGGCTCTGGGCGAGCTGGGGCTTGCTGCTGCTGCTGCAGGTGGGTCCGGGTGCTCTTTGTTCGCCGGCAGAGGCACGTGTTCGCGCCCGCTACTTTCTGCGGGCTCGCCTGGCAAGAAAGGGCCTGGCCAGCAAGCAAAAGACTTTCCCGGGGTTTAAAAGCGGGTGCCCCGCCGTGCAGCTGGCTTATCTGGGCACAGCGCACGGGGTGCCCCTTCTCGGCCTTCCCCCTCCACGGCAGGGGCGCCTTGCTCTCCCCAGCGGCCCTCTCATTGACTCAACAAGTGGCGTTTACATGTAAAGCAATTGCTGCAGCCCCAGCTCGTGGCGGGATCGCTCTGAGCCCGGCGGGGGGGTGGCGTTTGGCTGCCCGGGTATTTCCAGGGCGATGGATTTTCCCTCTTCTTGCAAACGCGCTGGGAAGGCCGGGCGCGCAAGTCCATCCAACGCCAAACCTCTGTGCAGTGAGCCAGGCCACGAGGATCCGGGCTCTGCTGCTCTTCACGCACGGGGCTAGTAGCTGATGTTGATTTCTTCCTTCCCCAGGCAGCGCTCTGCTCTTCCCAGGGTACATGCAACAGCCCCGACCAGTAAGTATAAGCGCTCTGGCTAGGGCAGGGTTCTCCAGCTGGCACGGGGGGGGTGTCTTCGCTGTGTTATAACTAGGTGGCGGTTTGGACTTTTTGCGGCTTATCCTTTCTCTCTGGAAAGTCTCTGCCTAGGAAAACAAGCCCTGGCTTGGCTGAAGCCAGTTCAGCTCATTTTTTTTCTTTTCCTTTCAATCCTACCTACTCGGGAGGTTGAGGTGAAAGATCCTTTCAGTCAAACTTGACTCTGTTCTTTGGAATGCCGTTTTTGCCTCTTTTCCTCATGTTATTTGAGCTCTTTTTCTAGTAAAAATAGGTGCAGGTGCTAACGTCTTCAGTAGAAAAAACGGTAACTTTTAAGTAACTCTCCGCAATCCTCATCTTCTGATTATACCACTTGTGCTAAAATTGCCACAAAAGAGGGAATACTGCCCTGAATTGGTTTTCCACTTGCTAAATGCATACAACTTGCTAAATGTAACACTATTTTTCTGCGTCTCTGTTGCAGAAGTGATGTCATCTTTTTGGCATTAAGCACAGCTCCCATTACAGCATTTTTGTTTGTATTACAGCCATGGCAAAAGTACCATAAGAATAATTGAGGATGAAAAAGCTGCTTTTGACTGGGATTAAAAAGAGTCAAGTTACTTTCAATCCTAATTTCCTTAGGGTATATAACTGTCTACTCCAAAACTAGGAAATATCACTAGTTATAAACAGTTTTGTTTTACAATCTTCATTGCAGCTTTTGTTATCTTTTTAATAGAGGTATTGTTAAAATTGTTTGCAGTGACCTTATGAAACTAAAACCAGAGTTTATTTAGCTTAATTTTGTTATACTGTTAATTGCCTCTTTTACTCTGCAATTACTGTGAAATTTACTTGCTTTGTTGTGAAACAATATTTGAAAGTAGAGACTGAGATTAGTTGCCCAACTTTGTTGCAGGTGTGCTCGGACTAATTCTAACTGGACTAGCTTGTGGTATGTCTGGTAAGTTCAAATGTTTTGCTTAACCGGGAAGAAACAAATTAAAGTGGGCATGGGTAAATAGAGACACTTCTCTGATTCTGAATAATCCATTCCATGCAACATGGGGCAGGTTCTTAGATGCGTATTCCATCAGCACAACTCTGACATGTTACAGCAACTTGAATCCAAAGCCAAGGGACACCCGCTTTTAAACAGACAACTTGCTGAATCTTCACTTGGAGAGGGATCAGCCATGCAGTGTTGTGTACTTGTCAGTTCTTGGCATTGCATCAGATTATCCCTCTCTCCCTTTTATGATATTCATTCTTTCTTGGCTTGCTGAGCTCCCTGGCATTGACTGATGGGTAACCTTTTTTTATTGGCTGGCTTTATGACTTAATAAGGGGAGAAAACAAATAGGCAAACACTATTGTACTAGACAGATCAGTTGCTTCATTATATTGCATGCCACATGAATTTTTTCTTGCAGCTACAGAGTGTACATGTGAAAATGTACGCTGTAAAACTTAATGAGGGAATACAGTGCAAGTTGGCTAGTGTTAACCACAGGTTAGCATTTGATCTAACTTAGGCTTCGTGGTTTCAAGCCCCTCCTTCAGCCAACCTCTGCCCCCTGGTCTTACATGTAGAATTGTTTGAACATGTAGAACTGTTTGAAAAATTAGTTGATCTTTTAACACTGGCTGAATCATCTAGCTGACTGCATTTACAAGCAGTAAAACTCATGTATCATAGTTTGCTGTTCAGAGTGTAATCATCTTCCCTCAACCAGAGGTCCTTCCCAGATCATGGAAACATGATGGTTTAGCCTCAGGTTTGGCCTCACATGCTAGGAAGATCTGATTGGCTGATAATGAGGTCATATGCTACTCAGTCCAGTGGAATGTTTCATTACGAAGATATAGCAAGATTTAATACTATAAAACGTAAAAGCCAGCACTGCATATCAGTTATTTTCTCTTCTGTCATTGCTGTGTTCTGAATTTTTTTTAAAGTAACTGTAAATAGCCTGAAACTCCAGTGGCTCTGTCAAACCTCGTTTATGCACTATTTGGAGGACATTAGTGGTTCAGAGGTCTAGATCTGGTATTGTGTAGAAGTCCAGATGGGAATACTGGGAAGAGGGAGCACCTTTAACATACGAACTCTTACACTGCCCTCATTTATTCTGTAGAACACTGACTTTGGCAGTGTATATTATGAGGTTGTACACCAGGTAAAGAGATGACACCACAATGATACACAGTGCACTGTAAACCTACTACATTGCTCCATATAAATGCAGGCCCTGGGTCCTGAAAGGACTTTTACATAAGTCGACTCCCTAAATTCAGTGAGTCATTGTAGCTAGGCTCTTACACTAGCAGAAAGTCTGGCCTGTGAATTTTTTAACTTAACACCATTGCTGAGTCAAGAAGTGTTTTCAGGTGATCAGTAGTGTCCAGAGCTTTAAGCTTTGAGACATTAAGCTGATGGTTTTGTGACTGGCTTTTCTCATGCTGGTGTTAACACACAAATGGAACCAACGTCAATAAAAACAAGACTCCTATGTAGGTAAGCCAGGCCTTGGTTAGGTGTTAAATCTCATCCATTCACGGAAGAGTAAAATCATCCATAATGAAGCAATGGACTTATCTCTACTTGCATCTCCTAGGTTGATTCTACTGACTGTGTTCATGCTTCTGCTATGTGGCATCACAGCGAGCTGTGTGAAGTTCTGCTGCCGGAAGAAGAGACCCCCAGTTCAAACCTTCCCTAGGCGCCCTTATGATTTGACGGTCATCGCCATTGATGGTGATAGCACTGCCCACAGCACTGTGACCTGTGAGTGTTCCGGGTGGGGGACTATTTTTCAGGGGTGCTTCAGGCTTTAACCTGGGAGATGCTAGCGTTTGGGTGTGCAATATTCCTGGAACTTCACATCTTCAAAGCAGACTCTAACCCTCTCAACACCTCAGGCTATCATCCCATGTGTTGTAGAGGGAGAAATTGAGAGAGACTCAGTGACTTGCCCTTGGCTACACAGTGAGCAAGTGGCAGAAGGCAACTGGGGGTTTCATGCTATAAAGGTTCAGATAAATTCCCCATGGGCACGTATCCATTCTTGCCCTGTAGTCTTGTTCTATCTCATATCTCTGTCCTGGACAAATGTCATCTTACTGGAGCTACAGCACAAAATCTGAATGGTAGAAACCCAGCTAATAAGTCTCCTGGTGTCTGGGTTGCTGCACATACCCCTTTGTTCTTCTAGTGGGTTAGGGCATCGATCACTGTCGCATCAGAGCACAAAGAACCCAGAAAGCATTCAGGTGAAAATGCTTTTGTTTAGACCCAACTTGTTATTACAATGAGGTATGTGACATAATGGGTATTTTATTCACATGTTTAAGCCCTGTTGTACCTTTTTTTGCAGCATACAGCTCTTTGCAGTACCCCCAGAGCACACCGCTTCCAATTCCATTTGGGGATATGGATAGGAGCACCATGTCTCCCCCCGCATACAGCCTCTATGCTCTGGAGTTGCCACCATCCTATGATGAGGCCATCAAAATGGCAAAGCCCTACATCGAGACAGCCTTGGTGAGCCAGAAGCTCAATGACATCGCTGAGCCGGTGGCACCAGAAGAGACAATTCAGCACCAAGGTTCATCTGGTCCTATGGCCGGTGAACTGGAGACGCAACCAAGTTCAGAACAATCGCAAGTTGCAGCACAACGTCAACCTCCTCTCTAACTCCTCAGTTAAGGGTGAGAGAGATACAGCAATGCAAGGAGCGTGAGAAATACGAAAGATGGTTAAAAGTTTGGTCTTGTATGCAAGTAACCATGGGATGGTGTTTAAACTGAGGTCCCCAGCAATGATCTGTCCTGCTGTCATGTGGGAGGAAAGTTCCCTGCAATTGCAGTAATCGTCTGTTGACTCTTCAAGGGTATTAAATGAAATAGGAGGACAGAGTTTAAAAATACCCTGAACGGGTGATACATGGCTGCTAGTTTGTGTGCTGCCAATGGAAAATAATCCCTTGTACTGATATGGCAATGAAAAAGGCAGGGGCATGGTACTGTGATAGCGATGCCTTCGTTCGATGCCAGAAGGACACAGTCAATGCATCGTTCCTAAACAAGATGGCATTTCTCAAATGTGAGGCAGAAATGAAGTCTTGAGCAAGTGCAAATTCAAGAGCTTCTAGAGCTTGTCTCTTCTTTTGAGAAGGTTAACTGTCCAGCAAATTGCTGAAACACGGAACTCGTTGCTACGTAACGGCGGATGTTTTTTAAACTGCAGGAAAATGGCATCCAAGAATTTGACTATAGTTCATGAATTGAAATGCACACAGTTAGTTTCCACAGTCGTGGGGAGAAACGACGCAAAAGACATTTGTGCTAATTATGGGAGACCTGAATCATTTAAAAAAAATCATTTTCAAGATGGGGGGGGGGAAGAGGGACAGATGAGGCTTGTTGGTTTTGCTCTTGGTTTTGTCAGTTACATTGCAAATTAATCTCAAAGAGAAACTTTAAACATTTTAATACTACCAAACCTTGTATTCGAAGTAGAGTCATGCTTTTTGCTGACTGAACCCAATGGGTTTGAAAAATTAAATGATCTGGTAAACACTGAATGCCCTGTCAGCACAAAAAGCCAGTAGTACAGATTTCAGAAAAAGATAACGTTACAGTGCCTGGCCGCCTTATGGATTTTTTTATTATATATTACTGATTTTTTTTTAAACTAAAAATAAAATGTTAACTTTTTAAAACAAACCATTTGCCACTGTGAGATCTGAGTAAACAGTGCTAAGGGTTTCAGAGAAAAGTATCCAATAGGAATGTCTTCAAGGAGCAAGTATGAAGCATGGAGCAATAAAAATGAGCACTGTCAGAATCTTTCATATGTAGCTCAATTCCACACTAGGGATATAAATGACTAGCCAACTGCCTGATAAGCATATGCTTATCGGGTAGTCAGGTAGTAACTTGACTAGTTGCTTTCTTCCCTCCCCCCCTCAGCCTGCCTGCCAGAGAGAGGCAGCAGTGGGTGGGGGGGAAGCAGGATCCGGACCTGGGGTGAGCTGGTTTAAAAGCCAGTTCCCCCCCAGCATGGTCTCCCTGGGGGGGGGGGGGGGGGGGGCGCCAC